GAAAAACACAAGCATCCTCCCTTCACCCACAGGTTAGCAGGCAAAGCAGGCTATGGTCTGCAGTCCTTTGCCTAATGAAATCCCTTATTGCATCCGGGGCATCGGGTCCTAGGTTTTGCCTCAGACGGCCTGGTTTGCCGCACCCCCCAGCAAGATCTATCAACTTGGGGGCCCTTGGGTGTGTCATGGGCAGGCTGCCTGTCTGCAAAGAGGGCATCCAGGGAAGCAGTGAGGGCAGCAATGGGACTATTACTGAGGTCAAGATCTCTTGTGACTGTACCCACTTGTGAATGTCTTCATTGCAGGTGGGGGCATTAAGCCCTTCTCAAACCAATTGTTTGATTATCATTTCCTTAATGGGGCCCCGTTCTCCTCTCTACTCCATTGCCTCATTGACACATGAGATAAAATCAGTAAAAATTTCCCCTGGCTGTACAGACTAGTGACTGTAGCATCTTCTTCCCACATATTTACAGCCTGAGACTGCACTCCTATAAGACCAGCTAACCCCTCCCCTGTGCTATACCTAATAACCCCACAGAGCTTCTGGCTTCCTGGTAGTGGTAGCATTAGAAAACTCCACCGGACCCCAGTGTCACTATACGTGTGTCTATGTGTCTGTTTTTTCTTCATTCCCTCACTTCCCCTAGCCAGGGATCCAGAACCCAAGCCCAATGGGAGACGGTATTCAGGGACCCGAAATTAAACCAAATATCAACGTGCATGAGCCCCGCACAGTTACACAAAGCTGATCCGGTTGCCTTTCAGCCAGGAGTGAAGCTTTTTAGTGAGAAAGGGAAAAGGGGCTTCAATAACCGCCTAGAACCTGTAACTGATATTCCTGATCCCTTACAACCCGTCACTCAGGGCATCCAAGAGGCAGATGCAGGAACTGAATCTTTAAACCATGCCTTATTCAGAGAGCTGGCAACCTGAGAGGATGGTGGACGGGCATCCTAAGCTATCTTCCCTTCATCTGCAGCCATCAGATGATACAGGGATGGGGAACCAAGGCAGCCGATCTCAAAGGCTCATCTTGTCCTCTGGCCAGGGCATTGCCTGGTCTCTCAGACTCTATGTTTCCGTCACTACCTTTGCTCTGTGCAGCAGGGCAGGGTTCACATACACCAAAGTCACTAAGTCCTGCATTCCCCAGGTCAGTGTGTGGGTGATGAGATTTAAGATTAATTCAGAGGCAACGAGCCAACAGAAGTCTATCCGTGATGGGCTGCACTGCAGGTGTGCAGATCCCTCTGACAGAATGAAGGGCAAATGTCTCTGTAAGAGAGAATATGAAGTGTCTAGAAGAGTCCCATGCAAACCAACACCTGAAAATTGAGTCTTTGTTTACAGGTATAAAAGACTATCAGGAAAGTCAACACGTGAATCTGAAAAATATGTGGCAATCAGAGCCACAGACTCAAGAGTAATCACATATCAAAAAAATTAAACAAAAATTAAAAATGAAAGTGAACAGCCAATAACCAATGACAATTTAGGGAAAATATCAAATGGTAATATTTGATATTGAAAATACTTTAATCAATTTGGAAAAAAGTAAGCCAGGTGTAGTGGTGTATGCCTTTAACCCTAGCAATTGGGAGGCAGGCAAATCTCTGCAAGATCAAGGCCAGCCTGGTCCACATTGTAGGTTCCAAGATAACCAGAGCTATATAATGAAAACTGGTCTGAAAAATAAAAAGGGATTAAGATAAGTTTAGAATTTTTGAAATCTTAAAATGTAAGAAATAATGAAAAAAGTTAAGGCATAGAAAACTACAAAGTACATTTTTTATGCCCAGTCCATGAGGATACCAAAAGATCACCAGGGAGACCGACTCACTGAAATGCAAAAGCAAGATTTATTATGTGTACAATATAAGTCAGCAAGGACCTCCTCAAAGCAACGGCACAGCAGCAGCAAGAGGAGGTGCCCCGCCCTTCTAGAGGGCATTATTTAAAGGTAAAACCCAGAAAAGTTACCTTAGCAGGGTGTGGGGTGACGGGTTCAGGCCTGATTGGTTCGTATCTAGGGATTTTTTAAAAGTTTTATTTTCGAATCTCGCCTGTTGCTTGTCAAGTTTCCTTATTGGCTGACCTTCGTGTGGTGACATTCCGTGATCATCTGTACTCTCCAGATGGCTCCCCTGTTACTATTGCCCCTAGCCATTTCTGAGGACTGGAATGTGTTATAAGAAATAGCTTACATGAGACACAAGAAGGAGGCAGAGGACAAAATGGAGGAACTTTGGGTCTTCACACTGTTGTGCACTATTAGATTAAGATGTGTTACATTCATTTATGCCGTAGAACATTTGTTTGATCGTGCAAAGGTGTGCTGCGTTCTTTTATGTGGCACTTGTTTAACTCGGCTGTGTTACTTTCCTCGGCCTTAAACACTTGATTGGTCTAATAAAGAGTTGAAGAGCCAATAAGCAGGAGAGAGAAATAGGTGGGGGTATCAGGCAGAGGGAATAAATAGGAAGAGAAATCTAGGCTATAAAAGGACAAGAAAGGGGAGTAGCAACAAAAGGAGAAGGAGAGGAGGGCACAGGGGCCGGCCACCCATCCACACAACCAGTCATGGAGTAAGAAGGAAAGGAAGATATGTAGATTAAAGAAAGGTAAAAAGCTCAGAGGCAAAACATAGTTAAAGTTAAGTAAGTTAGAAAAGCTGGCTAGAAACAAGCCAAGACAAGGCCAGGCACTCATAAGTAAGAGTAAGTCTCTGTGTATTTATTTAGGAGCTGGGTGTTGCACCACCCCCCCAAAAAAAAAACAACTACAGAACATTCTGTTTCACTAGGGAGAAAAGGCAGTTTCAGGCAGACAAAAGTACTATTGTGGGGTATTCACCAAAGAAGTTTTAAGCCAATAGAAAGTTTTTATAGCTGGCCAGCATCTACACTGGTTGTTCAGGATCCCAGTGTAGCTGGGAGACTTTCCCGGGGTGAGCCCTTAAGCACAGAAACCATGCCCTGGGTTGACCTCAGTTAGCAAGAACAGTTAGTGGAACTACAGAGGCCAAAAAACAAGGTTAGTACATTTAGACTTTTCTGGAACTACGGACTTTGAAGGATGAGATGGTTTCTTTTCATTTTGGCAGGTGGTGGTGTTTATGTGCTGAGTTTTATGTCCTGAATGGCACTTCCATCAGAGAGTCTACTGTGAAGGTGCCTACAAAGGTCTGCCATTGGGTGGAGGTGCTGTTCCAATAGGAGCCACAGTTAGGGTCACTCAGTACCAAGTGCATAGGGCAAAAGCACCCAGGAAACACAGTCAAACAGGTCTACATAGTCTACATAGAAAGTTCCAGGACAGACAGGTGTAGGACCCAGTAATGATGAGCTCGACAAAGGCCCTAGTCTCAGAAGTCTAAGGCAGTACCTGGTTCCAAGAAAGACCACACACTGGGACCACCCAGGCACCACCCAGGAACAGACCATCCACAGGAAATTCCTAATGTTTCAACCATTGTAGATAGGACTACTTGATGTCCCTTGGACTAGCACACACCCATCGCTTTCCCCCAGGACATCCCTAGAGAAATGTCAGCCAATCAGGCTTTCTGAACCTTAGAAATTCCTAACCCCAATCTCTGCTATTTTAAAAACCTCATCCCAACTAATGTCAGGGTTCTCCTATCACACCAATGCATTGGGCCCACAGATAGTCCGAGTTCAAACTTGAATAAGAAGAAAGGCTCTATGCTTTTACATACAGGACTCAATCTCCTTGTTGGTTTTTGGGGGTCTCCTTGATCTGGGCATAACACCAGGGCTACAAAGTGAGACGCTATCTTTAAAAAAAAAAATCAGAATGAGAGGAAACAGTCAAAATACAGGCGACCAAGCAAAGCTTCTGAATACTTTTTGCACTCAGAGGCATGTGGTCTGTTTGAAAAAAAGTTCGGTTCTGGTGTTACGCATCTGTAAGAAAGAAAAAAAATGCAAGGAGAAAAGAAAGAAGCAAATGGTTCTAAGAACAAGGAAGTTACAATTTATTGGGGACTTTCTCTCTCTCTCTCTCTCTCTCTCTCACACACACACACACACACACACACACAAATGTATCTTGAGCAACAAGAAGACAGGTGGGCCATGATTATAATAATGTCCAGTGAGTTCCCGAATTTCAAGCAAATCCTTGCACGAGGAGGTAGTTTTGGGAAAGTTCTGTAGTTTGTCACTGGAGTCAAGCGATCCTGTTCCCGTGTGAACACTGTCCTTCTTCACTCTGCGTGTCACCTCAGTTTCTCACGGCACTCCTACTAAACTGGATTTTAATTAATTAACGCTTGGGTTATTTTTTTTCTTTTCCGAGATACGGTATCATTATATAGCCCTGGCTGTCCTGGAACTCACTCTGTAGATCAGCCTGGACTCCAATTCAGAGATCCACCTGCATCTGCCTCCCAGTGCTGGGATCAATGGCATGCGCCACTAAGCCCAGTCTTTTTAAATTTTTGTTAAAGACTGGATCTATGTAGCCATGACTGGCCGGAAATTCACGGAGATATGCCTACCGTTGTCTCAGGAGGGATAGGATTATAGCCACACCACATGGTTCCTACTTCTACACACACACCCAACAAAGAGATAACTCAAGACCAACGGTGGCTCCTTCCACTAGGACTTCTCAAGGCTCCCAAACTGTACTCCTTTATTAATTTTTCCTTTCATTCTTTCTCTCGTTTTCTTTTTCCTTGCTCCTCCTCCTCCTCCTTCTTCTCTCTCTCTCTCTCTCTTAAAATAGTTAAGTGGTCTTCAGTATTCTTTTTCTTAACTTATTTTACACACATGATTTTCGTGTTACCACCAATCATTCACCCAACTTTCACAACACCAGGTAAGAGTGTATAGAGGCCAAATCCTCCAGTCTGGCTCAGCCTCATAATTACTCTGACCTCAGCCGCCCAACTGTGTCCTTGTCTTGTCTGAGGCTTGAGACCAACCAGAGCAGCTCCACAGCAGGCCAGGCTACACGCAGACTCGCAGACTCGCGCGCGCTCTCCAAGGCCTCCTGTTCTAGTTCCAGCCCTAGCATGACAGCAACGCTAAGCCTGGTGCCCGCGGGCCGCAGCTGCTGGGACGAGCCGCTGAGCATCTCCGTGCGCGGCCTGGCCCCCGAGCAGCCCGTCACGCTGCGCGCCGCCCTGCGAGACGAGAGAGGCGCGCTCTTCCGCGCCCACGCGCGCTACCGCGCCGACCCCCACGGCGAGCTGGACCTGGCGCACGCCCCCGCGCTGGGCGGCAGCTTCGCGGGGCTCGAGCCCATGGGGCTGCTCTGGGCCATGGAGCCCGATAGGCCGCTCTGGCGTCTGATCAAGCGCGACGTGCAGACGCCCTTCATGGTGGAGCTGGAGGTGCTGGACGGCCACGAGCCCGACGGCGGGCGGCTGCTGGCGCGGGCGGTGCACGAGCGTCACTTCATGGCTCCCGGGGTGCGGCGTGTGCCCGTGCGCGAGGGCCGTGTGCGCGCCACGCTCTTCCTGCCTCCAGGTGAGCAGCCCTCCCTTGGGGAGCCAGGTTCAGGGCCTGGCCCTTTCTAACCCTGTCTACCATTTGTCTCTGGACTTTCTCCTTTTCTTCTGTATATCTTACTTTCACTCTTACTGTGGTGGGTGGCCATGTGGTTGTCCCTCAAAGTCCTCTTCTCCTACTTCTTTTTTTTTCTTTCTTTTTTTTCTTTTTTTTTTTTGGTTTTTCGAGACAGGGTTTCTCTGTGGCTTTGGAGCCTGTCCTGGAACTAGCTCTCTAGACCAGGCTGGTCTCGAACTCACAGAGATCCGCCTTCCTCTACCTCCCGAGTGCTGGAATTAAAGGTGTGCGCCACCATCGCCCGGCCTCTTCTCCTTCTTCTTGCTCCTTAATCCTCTTTCCAGATCTGTCCTCCTATTTATTCTCTCTGCCTGCCAACCCTGCCTAGCCTTTCTCCTGCCTCACTATAGGCCTTTCAGCTCTTTATTAGAGCATCAGGTGTTCACAGCGTTAAATAAATGTAACATAAAAGAATGCAACACATCTTTGCACAATTAGAACAAATGTTCACTACATACAAATGTAGCACATCTTAAAATAATTTTCCACAACAATCCCTAGTGTGGCAGGTTTTGATGGCCCCAATATTGCTGAAGAAGATGGAAGGAATGTGAGCAGCCTTAAAATAGAATAGCTACGTATGTATGCAGTAGCACGGATAACTCCATCAGCACGAAAGGGTCGTTGATAAGAGATTACCATGATGACTTTCCTTGACTTCCTCATGGGCATCTGTGTTTCCTTCCAATTCTAATAATCCGGTGAGGTAGTTTGAATGTAATTGGCCCCCGTAATCCCTTAGGGAGCGGCACTATTAGGAGGTGTGGCATTCTTGGAGTGGGTCTGGAATTATTGGAAGAAGTGTGTCACTGTGGGGTTGAATTTTGAAGTTTCCAGTGCTCAGGATACTGCCTAGTAACTCAGTCCACTTCCTGTTGCCTGTAAGATGTTGTAGCACAGCTCAGTTGGGTGTGGTGGCACATGTGCTTAATCCGGCACACAAGAAGCAGGAAGAGCTCTGTATATTCAAGGCCAGCTTGGTCTACAGAGTTAGTTTTAGGACAACCAAAGATACACAGAGAAACTATGTTTCCGTGGTGGGGAGGGGAAATGTGGTAGCACAGCTCAGCTCAGCTTGCTGCCTGCACTTCACCATGTTCCCTGTCATAATGATAATGGATTGAGCCTCTGAAACTATAAAGGAGCCACCCCAATTAAATGTTTTCTTTTTAGGAGTTGCCATGGCCACAGTGTCTCTTCATAGCAGTAGAAACTCTAACTAAGACAGGCGCCTACCTGAAAATTACAAGATTTTAACTGGAGAGATAGCTCAGTGATTAAAAGCATAGGTTGCTCTTGTAGGGACTATGAGTTCAATTCCCAGCACCCACGTGGCAGTTCACAACTATCTGTAACTCCAGTTCTCGGTATCTGACTATCTCTTCTGGCATCCTTGGGTTCCAGGCACACAAGTACTATACATAAGCATGCAAGCAAAACATTATTTCACATAAGAAACCTAATTTTAAAATAATTTTATAAAAAATTGCAACCCTTGGAAAAGAATTTACAGACATTACATAAGATGTAGAATTCCTTTAAAGATTTTTTACAGGTACCAATGGAGGACTTTCATTTCATAATACCTGAGATATCAAATGATCATATTTTTATTACAAGCATCAAAGAGATTTGGGGTGACTTAAGTAAAGGAACATATTTGCAGGTCATAGATGTGAGAAAACAATCGATAAGGATATTAGAAAACAGTAAACTACCTCTCCCTCTCCTGTCACTCAGAAGCTATGGGCCCCTCTGTTGTGATATAAAATGAGGTCTTCTCTCAGAGTAGGAGAGGAGGTTTGGATTCCTTTAACTTCTCTTCCTAGCTCCCATTTACATGAAAAAAAAAAAACCAAATTCTTAAATTCATTTGAGGACTACTGGCTTTGTTTTTTATTTTTCCTAAGGAAATGGACCCTTTCCTGGGATCATAGACATTTTTGGAATTGGAGGTGGCCTTCTGGAGTATCGGGCTAGTCTGTTGGCTGGGAAGGGCTTTGCTGTCATGGCTCTGGCTTATTATAACTATGATGACCTCCCCAAGAGCATGCACACATTCCACCTGGAGTACTTTGAGGAAGCTGTGAACTACCTGCTCAGTCACCCTCAGGTTGGTTGTTATTTTTGTCTTTTGGTTTAGAAACTATGGTCCTAAAACATCCACCCACCAAGATAAGATTTTCAGCTCAGTTCCTGAGGTGTTGTGAGACAATCAAATCTTCATTTTCAAAGTAGAAATCAAAGTAAATTTGTGAAATGAATGATATTTCAGGGCAATGATCTGGTCAGGCATTCTGATGATGAAATACATCAGATAGAAGTAAGGTCTGTGGTATGCTAAAGGGAGCCTGCTGGGACACGGGCACATTCAGCACATAGTGGAAGATACCAGGTTGAACAGGTAACTCAGCCATTAAGATCACTTGCTGATCTTCCAGAGGACAGAGTTGGGTTGCCAGCACCCAGGTCAAGTGGCTCCTAATTGCCTGTTCTTCCAGCTCCAGAAAGTAGGAGCCAATCTTCTGGCTTCTGAGTGTAGCTTTGCACACACAGACATAGCCAGGGAAACACACACACACACACACACACACACACACACACACACAATCTAAAACAATCTTACTTGACTCAGGCATACCACAGAAGAGGTGGGTCCCTTAGCAGCATTATTGTTTTGCATGAGTGTGTCTCCACCCTTGGTTTTGTTCTGAGCACTAAATGATTCATAAGTCCCTGCAACAGGACCTACCATGAACTGATAAATGTCATTCACTTGGGAAACAATATAGGAGTTATAGGGGGTTAAAAGTGAGGAAGACCAGGGCCAAGGCAGGGATGGCTGTGGAAGAAAGAAAATCATTCAGTGTGAACAAGGATATAAGAGGCCATGCCTGAAGAACAGCAGAAGTGAGTGTTGGCAGGAAGAGCCTTCCTGTGCATGGGGCAAAGCCTGCCTGCCTGTTAGAGGCAGAAGAGCTGCTGTCTGGGAGCTTAAGGTGTTGTAAAAATGACAATGAAAGCCTCCTCACTGGTCCCACATAGACCCATGGCCTGGCTCTACAATCATGAAATTGTGTAACTTCAGTAACCCTGTCCCCACTCTCCAAAGCCTGTCAGTGGTTTTGAATAAATTGTTTTATTCCCCTAAACACCCACTTTTAGAAAACAATTCTTAATTTGAATAAGAAATTTTTTTGTTTAAAGCATCTCCCTCTTCTCCAGTACATGCATCTTGAACTCTTACTCATAACCAGAATCTTACCTCAGTTTACTGTGATGCTTGCTGGATGATCATAAACCCATGTGAATGTACTGCCCACCACTGCAAATACATCACAGATGAAAAGAAAACGATATCCTGACTTGCCCACATTCTTCCATTGACAAACTCATACTCAGGAATGTACCTATTATTTTTCATTTCAAGCTTCATGTAGACCACGGTGTTGAGAAATACTCCTTTACACTGTGTGAAGATGTGATAATGTGACTGGTTTAGTAAAAAGTGGAATGGCCAATAATCTAGACAGGAAGAGCCTTGGTGGTACTCTGGGACAGAGAAGTCTGGGGGAAGAGGAAAGGCAGAGTCACCAGTCAGACACAGAGGAAGCAGGTATCCAAGCACAGAATACAGGTATCCAAGTCACGTAAAAGAATGTGGATTAAAAGATGTGGCTTCCTGTAAGTTATAAGAACGAGTTAGGAAGGAACAAGTTTAAGCTGAGGCTAAGCATTTATAATGAATGAGAAATCTCTGTGTGGTTATTTGGGAGCTGGCAGGTGGGACAGAGAAAGACTAGTTACACTGTGGGACTTAGCACTGAGCCTCATCTAAGGATTTGAAGAGACCTAATCACCTTTCAAAACCCGGATGGTGCAGAGTGAGAGTCAGGCTCAGGGCCACCCTCCATCCCTAGGTTGGCACCACTAACTGCCCTACCCTCTAGATGCATTTATTCCCTTTCTTTTCTCTGTTTCTTTCTTAGGTCAAGGGACCAGGAATTGGCCTGCTGGGAATTTCCAAAGGGGCTGACCTCTGCCTCTCCATGGCCTCTTTCCTGAAAGGCATTACAGCGGCTGTCATAATCAATGGCTCTATGGCCAACGTTGTTGGAACATTGCACTACAAGGATGAGACCCTGCCCCCTTTGAGCATTAACATGAATCGAATCAGAGTGATCAAAGATGGCCTTAGAGATATTTTGGAAGCCCTGAATTGCCCTTTAAAAGGCCCTGACCAGAAGAGCATCATCCCTGTGGAAAGGTCTGACTCCACCTTCCTGCTCCTTGTGGGTCAGGATGACCGCAACTGGAAGAGCGAGTTCTATGCCAATGAGATCTCCAAACGCTTGCAGGCCCATGGGAAGGAGAAGCCCCAGATCATCTGCTACCCAGAAGCAGGGCACTACATTGAGCCCCCTTACTTCCCCCTGTGCAAGGCTTCCTTACATGCATATATTAATATGCCTGTCATCTTTGGCGGGGAGCCTAGGGCTCATGCCATGGCCCAGGTGGACGCATGGCAGAAACTCCAGACTTTCTTCCACAAACATTTGGGTGCTGAAGTGAGAACAATCCCAGCAAAACTGTGATTTTTTTTGTGTGTGTGTGAGTAGTGACACTTCTGATGTTGATCCCTCCTGAGAAGGCTGCCACTGTTAGGATGTGCATGTATTTTTCTCTCCTTTAATAAAGTCTTGAGTTTCCCCACCCCCAAAGCTTTTATGGACTGAGTCCTCATGGTTTGAGGACACAGTGGTTCCTACCTCCTTATGGCAATGAAGATTGAGCCCAAGGTTTGTGCATGGTGGGCTAGCTCTCAGCTGCTGAGCTATCCCACTCTCCCTTAGATGGCAGCGGTTTTAAAGAAACTTGAGAGGTTGAGGAGCATATCTACTCCCTGGCACAGCATGTGACTGACAACTCCAGTTACAGGAGGAGAAGTGAACAACATGGACTGGCCGTGCCTGCTACATAACGCGGTCCAGTAACTACATACTAGATGACTGTAAATAAATCTGTAACTGCTGCACAAGAAAGCATGTGCTGTGGCCCCTTGTGCCGGTGAGATCCACATGGCAGACTCTACCGCTGCCCATGGGTTGAATTATTTGAAACTTATTCCGGCCATTATTCCTTAGACACTATGTACCGATTTAAGAGCTATTTATACAGTGCTTGTGTTACTCTTAGGGACTTAAGTATTCTGGATGTGATCATAATGTTTTAAAGATTTTCAGACTACATGCCAATTCCACACCATTTTATATCAAGTACGTAAATCATAGCAGTTTGGGGGTCCAGCAAATGACTGTAATATCAAAATCGTTATAATACCATGGCTGAGCTCCCCTTCTTAGAATGTAAGTCGTAGCACTTTAGTTACAAACTATTTACTGGTTAAATCTAAAACTGATAAAATATTTAAAGCTAAAACACATCTAACTTTCTGATATTTTTTCAAATGAATGAGGATTCTTCTAGTAAAGAAACTATATTTGGGTTTCTGTTAATATGATAGGCGCACAGCTTTAGTGTTTCAAAGTTGATAAAATAGTTACATTGGGACTATAATTTTTAACAATGATAATCATAAAAATATGTAAAAATGAGACCACCTGTTATAAATAGTTCAATAAACTTACATTTCTTAAGCCCTTAACTGTATTTAAAATAAAGTACCTTAATTTATTATTGTTGTGTTCTGACTCTTTATTTATTTTGTTTTTTCGAGACAGGATTTCTCTGTGTGACTGTCCCAGAACTCACTCTATAGACTAGGCTTGGCTCGAACTCATAGACATCTGCCTGCCTCTACCTCCTGAGTGATGGGATTCAAGGCGTGCGCCACCACCGCCTGGCTCTTAATTTTATTTTTTAAAAAGGCAATCAAATCCTGATATTTTGTTTTTGACTCTCACAAACATTGGCTGTTTATTTCAGTTTGGACAGGAATATCCTCCGTGGTTCCTGTGTTAAAGACTGGCTTGCCAGTGAATTGGCTTGTGAAATGATCATATCTCTAGGACTCTGACTCAGTCAATGACGTGATCCTCTGTTGGATTCCTGATGTGATGACATTATTGGGAAGAGAAGCCTCGCTGGAGAAGTGTGTCATGGAGGCACTCCATTAAGAGATGCAGCTTGTCCTGCCCGCTTTCTTCTCTTTCTGCTTCCTAACCGTAAATGTTTTGCTCCTGCATACCCTCCCACCATGATGTGCTCGCTCACAGGCCAGGAACCCGTGATGTCAGTGACGACACTAACCCTCTGAAATCAAGCCAAAATTAATGTGCCCTCCTTTTAATTTGTTTCTCTAAGAAATTAGTCACTGAAATGCAAAGTGTCCCTTCTGTTCGTCAACAATGGTGTGCTGGTCTCTGAATATTGGCCAATCTGAAGGTAAATGTGCTCTTCGTTTTAAAGGTAAGGAAGTGCATCTTATGGAAGTTTCTAGCAGTCATCGTGGAGGTACAGTTCAGCAGCCTCCAGTCTCCCCCTTCTGTATGAAGCTACAGTCCTTAATCTGTCTTTCATCATTTTAATCACAAAGCCAGTTGTCCATCAATGTCTGTCATGTCTCACGCAACATGAATGCACATGTGTGTGAAGTTCATCCGTGTGCTGTGAATTCTCCCATGCCTATCCAGAAGCTCTCCAGGACAGTAGCCAAAGCCCTGAGGGAGAGGGGGATGGTCTTCTTTCACTCCTGCAAATGTGTTACAGAATTTCTGGGTTTGTGGCAGGTTGCAGGAGGAGGAGGATGTTAAAAAGCACCGTGTGTATAACTTACCTAAAAGAGTGGATCAGGAAACATGCTTAAGACCTGGTGCCTGCCAGGCATAGTGCTTCATAACTGTAATCCCAGCACTCAGGAGGTGGAGGCAAGAGGATCACTGGGGAGAGATACATGGGTGACAGCTAGTCCTTAACGTCACACAACTTTTGTTAGAGGTGTGCGTGCATGTGTATGTGTTCCCACTTTCCTCTGTTTTTCCTTTAAATTAGAAGTTCCAAGATAGGCAGAAAAAAAAAAGAAAGAGAAAATGGGGGAAAGTTTAAGCCTTGGAGCAGCTATAGTGGACACAATAGAAGTGAAGCTTTCAGTATTCGAAAGTTGGAGCGAAATTGTTTCGCTCTATCCTGAATGTTCAGTAGCCTGGACTCAGGTCCAACATTGACACACCCGAGCGTTCACACAGGGTGCTTCAGTTGCCTCCACGCCAAGAATGCAGCCTTGTAGATTGAAAAGAAAAGACAGGGACAGCTGCATCCTTGCAACCTGTCACTCAGGGCATGCAAGAGGCAGATGCAGGAGAGCTGGCAACCTGAGAGGATGGTGGACGGGCATCCTAAGCTGTCTTCCCTTCATCTGCAGCCATCAGATGATACAGGGATGGGGAACCAAGGCAGCTGATCTCAAAGGCTCATCTTGTCCTCTGGCCAGGGCATTGCCTGGTCTCTCAGACTCTATGTTTCCATCACTACCTTTGCTCTGTGCAGCAGGGCAGGGTTCACATACACCAAAGTCACTGAGTCCTGCATTCCCCAGGTCAGTGTGTGGGTGATGAGATTTAAGGTTAACAGAAGTGTGTCTGTGATGGACTGTACTGTGGGTGTGCAGCTCCCCCTGACAGAATGAAGGACAAATGTCTCTGTAATACAGAATATGAAGTGCCCAGCAAAATCCCATGCAAATCAACACCTGGAAATTGAGTCTTTGTTGACAGATGTAAAAGACTATTAGGAAAACCAGCACACAAACCTGAAAAACATAGCAACAATCAGAGCCACAGACTCAAGATTAGTCACACATATCAAGTGGCCAAAGACAATTTAGAAAAACATTCTCACTAGTGGCCATGATCAAAATCACTGATAATAATGCTGGAGAGGCTGTGGGGTAAAGGGAAGAGTGCTGCATTGCTGGTGAGAGTGCAAGCTGGTACAGCCCCTTGGGATATTAGAATGGTGATTTCTCAGAAAGTTAGGAAACGGCCTTCCTCAAGACCTAGCAATACCACTTTTGGGTATATACCCAAAGGAGGCTCAATCAATCACAGGGATGTGTGTTCAACTATGTTCATAGCAACATTGTTTGTCATAGCCAGAACCTAGAAACAATGTAAATGTCCCTCAACCAAAAACTGGATAAGGAAAATGTGGTACATTGACACAATGGAATATTAACAGTAGAAAAAATAATGACATCTTGAAATTTGCAGGCAAATGAATGGATCTAAGTTGTAAGGAGGCCACTTGTTCATTTCCCAGCTGCCCAGACTTCCGAAATAATCACACAGAAACTATATTATTTAAATCATTACCTGTCCCATTAGCTCTAGCTTCTTATTTGCTAACTCTTACGTCTTAATTTAACCCATCTCCATTAATTTGTTCATCACACGAGGTCATGGCCTATCAGCAAAGTTTGAGCACGTCTGTCTCTGGCAGTGGCTCCATGGCTTCTTCTGACGTCGCCCTCTTTCTCCCAGCATTCACCCTAACTTTCCCTGCCAAAGTTCTACCTTCCTATAGGCCAAGCCAGTTTCTTCATTCATTAACCAATAAAAGCAACACATAGACAGAAGGACCTCCCACACCAGATCTAGAAAATATCATATTGAATGAGGTAACCCAGAAAGACAAATATCATATGTACTCACTCATAAGTGGTTTTTAGATATAAATCAAAGAAAACCAGCCTACAAATCACAATCCCAGAGAACCTAGACAACAATGAGGACCCTAAGAGAGACATACATGGATCTAATCTATATGGGAAGTAGGAAAAGACAAGATCTCCTGAGTAAATTGGGAGCATAGGAACCATGGGAGAGGGTTGAGGGGTAGGGAGAGGAAGGGAGGAGAGCAGAGAAAAATGTATAGCTCAATAAAATCAATAAAAAAATATTCTCACTAGCATGCTCACACTTGGTATCTGAGAATACTGTATACCAATTTAGAAGAAAGAAATAAAATGATCTTGGGATTTTTTTTCCTAAAGATTACCATGCAGAAAATATATTTTAAAAATCAAGGCATGGACGATTACAAAGCACACCCTGTTTTCCTTACAGATCTGTGGTAGCTGAGGTGGACAAACTCTGAGACACTGTAAGGTTCACTTCACTTGAATTTAGGATAACGGAAATAATGAAAAGGAAATATCCCAACAAAGTTCCCAAGTCATTTGCACTCAGGAGGCATGCAGTGTGTTTCAGCAAACCTGTCTTTGATGTACCAGAACTGAAGCCAAACACAGTAGATGCCAGGAGACCAAAGAAAGAAAGAGATACTTCCAGAAGTAAACTGGATAAAGTTTCCTAGGGACTTATAGACAGAAACATGTCTTGAGCAGCAACATGACAGGAAGATTGATGTGGGATTCCCCTCTGTATGTTGTGAATACCATTGGTTAATAAAGAAACTGTCTTAGGCCTGCACAGGGCAAAATAGAAGTAGGTGAGGAAACTAAACTGAATGCTGGGAGAAAGAAGGCGGAGTCAGGGAGAAGCCATGGAGTCCTGCCAGAGACAGATGCCAGAACGTTAACCGGTAAGCCATAGCCATGTGGCGATACACAGATTACTAGAAATGTGTTAAATTATGATGTAAGAGTTAGCCAATAAAAAGCTAGAGCTGGGCTGGAGAGATGGCTCAGTGGTTAAGAGCATTGCCTGCTCTTCCAAAGGTCCTGAGTTCAATTCCCGGCAACCACATGGTGGCTCACAACCATCTGTAATGAGGTCTGGTGCCCTCTTCTGGCCTGTAGACATACACCCAGACAGAATATTGTATACATAATAAGTAAATAAATATTTAAAAAAAAAAAAAAGCTAGAGCTAAGCCGGGCGGTGGTGGCGCACGCCTTTAATCCCAGCACTCGGGAGGCAGAGGCAGGCGGATCTCTGTGAGTTCAAGGCCAGCCTGGTCTACAAGAGCTAGTTCCAGGACAGGAACCAAAAGCTACGGAGAAACCCTGTCTCGAAAAATCAAAAAAAAAAAAAAAAAAAAACCTAGAGCTAATGGGCAAAACAGATTTAATTAATACAGTTTCTGTGTGATTATTTCAGGGCTGAGCAGTTGGGAAAACAAACAAGTGGCCTCCTAGTACAGAAGATGTTTTGCATCCAATCACAGGCAAAGATAGGCCATGCGAACCACAATGGAGCTAGTCCTCTCTGTGTTATCATTTTCAGTTTAAAAACAACCTGAGCAGCAGCAGATGGCACAGCATACTTAGCTGACTGTCTCAACGACTCTGCTAGTCCTAAGTTCTTGGGGTATGTGATAGAGTAAACGTATACAAGATAGCAGTTATAACCAAGGTACCAAAAATAACGTCAAGAGGAGTCGCCACATTCACAAATGATGCCTCTGATATGTACAGAAAATTTTAGATTAAAAGGCTTCACAATGAGATGAAAAGAAACATTCAGAGATTCCTAGTGGAAGCTGGGCAGTGGTGGCAGCACATGCCCTTAATCTCAGGACATGGGAGGCAGACAGAGAGAGAGAAAGAGAGAGACAGAGACAGAGATCTTTGAAAGATGGTGACTTCTAGAAGATCTTTAGGCCACTGGGAGTGTGTCCATGAGTGGAGTTGTGGAATCCTAATGTCTTTCTTTCTAACTTGCAATGTAGACCTCATTTTGCCATCTGGTATACCCAGATCTTGAACTGGATTAGAGAAACGTTAAACATTTTCTCATCATAAATTAATATCCTGGATATCTCAGTGCAGTAATGTGAACCTGACTAAAATAATTATCATTTAGAAAGAAAAAAATGTCTGTAGCAAAAGAGTGGCTCCTGGCGTCTGGTACTGAGTGGTCCATTTTTGGATCTTGTCCTTTTCTTTTCTTTTTCTTTATCTTTTTGGTTTTTCAAGAGAGGGTTTCTCTGTGTAAAGGTCCTGGCTGTCCTGGAACTTGCTCTGCAGACCAGGCTGACCTCTGCCTCCCAGAGATTCCCCTGCCTCTGCCTCGTGAGTGCTGGGACTAAAGGTGTGCGCCACCATCACGACCCAGCCTGGATCTTGTCTTTATAAGGATATGGCCATACAACTGTGTATATAAGCTCTCTTTACACAATCGACCTGTTCTCATATGTAGCTTGCTATGTTTCAAAGTGTCTCTCAAAGCTTTTGAGGTAGAAACTTAACCACTGGTAGGTAGAACCTTAGGGAGGACTCTGTGCTGGTAAACGGAGTGGGTTATAGCAGGTGTGGGTTATCTTTAGTTTTCTTTTTGAAGGCTGAGTTTGACCTTTTTTTTTTTTTTTTTTTTTTTTTTCTTGTATGCTTTGTCTGTGGGTTTGTTTAAAACGGGACCTCTCTTATGTATCCCGGGCTGGCTTTGAATTATAATGATCCTCCAGTCTCTGGGTCATTACACCCAAATTTGAGTGCTGTTTGCTTTCTGCTAGCGAATAACATGTGACTAAATACTGCCTTCCCACTTCAATTTGGACTTTCCAGAACTCAAAACTATCAGATTTTTTTTTTATTGCCAGGTGTTAGTGGCGCACACCTTTAATCCCAGCACTTGGGAAGCAGACGCAGGCGGATCTATGTGAGTTTGAGGCCAGCATGGTCTACAAGAGATAGTTCCAGGACAGGTTCTAAAGCTACAGAGAAACCCAGTCTTGAAAAAGAAAACAAAAACAAAACAACAACAACAAAAAAAATCTGTTAAAAAATTATCCAACGTTACATATTTCCCTAGAGTAGCAAAAGTAGCCTAAAATGAAAGGAGTTGTTTGCTTTTACAAAAAAAAACTGCTACCTAATCTACGCAAAGACCAGACTTTGCCTTCTTCACCTAGTGTCACTACCAATCCACATGGGCAGAATCTCGTGGCCTGACTGGACCCCACCGCTACTCTGACTTCCCCTGTCAGTCTGCAGACACCAGCCCGGTTTCTGTCTCTGTTTTCCCTGAGAGGAGCGACCAACGGCTCGGGACCTCCCAGAGACCGACTAGGACGGCTCCACAGCAGGCCAGGCTCCGCTCCGGACTCGCGTGGAGCTCCCCAAAGCCTTCAGCTCCAGTCCTGGCATAATGGCGACGCTGAGCCTGGAGCCCGTGGGCCGCAGCTGCTGGGACGAGCCGCTGAGCATCTCCGTGCGCGACCTGGCCCCCGAGCAGCCCGTCACGCTGCGCGCCGCCCTGCGAGACGAGAGAGGCGCGCTCTTCCGCGCCCACGCGCGCTACCGCGCCGACCCCCACGGCGAGCTGGACCTGGCGCGCGCGCCCGCGCTGGGCGGCAGCTTCGCGGGGCTCGAGCCCATGGGGCTGCTCTGGGCCATGGAGCCCGATAGGCCGCTCTGGCGTCTGATCAAGCGCGACGTGCAGACGCCCTTCGTGGTGGAGCTGGAGGTGCTGGACGGCCACGAGCCCGACGGCGGGCGGCTGCTGGCGCGGGCGGTGCACGAGCGTCACTTCATGGCTCCCGGGGTGCGGCGTGTGCCCGTGCGCGAGGGCCCTGTGCGCGCCACGCTCTTCCTGCCTCCAGGTGAGCAGCCCTCCCTTGGGGAGCCAGGTTCAGGGCCTGGCCCTTTCTAACCCTGTCTACCATTTGTCTCTGGGCTTTCTCCTTTTCTTACTTCTGTATATCTTACTCTGTGGGTGACCATGTGGCTGTCCCCCAAAGTCCTCTTCTACTTCTTGCTTCCTCATGGGCATCAGTGTTTCCTTCCAATTCTAATATCCGGTGTGGTAGTTTGAATGTAATTGGTCCCATAATCTCAGAGGGAGTGGTACTATTAGGAGGTGTGACTTTCTTGGAGTGGGTCTGGCCTTGTTGGAGGAAGTGGGGGTGGGCTTTGAAGTTTCCGGTGCTCAGGATACTGCCTAGTAACTCAGTCCACTTCCTGTTGCCTGTAAGATGTTGTAGCACATCTCAGTTGGGTGTGGTGGCACATGTGCTTAATCCCGCACACAAGAAGCAGGAAGAGCTCTGTAAATTCAAAGCCAGCTTGGTCTACAGAGTGAGTTCTAGGACAACCAAAGATACACAGAGAAATTATGCTTCTGGAAAGATGGCTCAGGGGTTAAAAGCATGGGTTGTTCTTATAGGGACTATGGGTTCATTTCCCAGCACCCACGTGGCAGCTCACAACTAACTCTAACTCCAGTTATCAGTATCTGACTATCTCTTCTGGCATCCTTGGGTTCCAGGCACACAAGTACTATACATAAGCATGCAAGCAAAACATTGTTTCACATAAAATAAGAAACCTTTAAAATAATGTTATAAAAAATTACAAGCCTTGGGACAGAATTTACAGACATTACATAAGATGTAGAATTCCTTTAAAGATTTTTTACAGGTATACCAATGGAGGACTTTCATTTCATAATAGCTGAGAGATCAAATGATCATATTTTTACTACAGGTATCAAAAACAGATTTGGGATGATTTATGTAAGAACATATTTACAGGTCATAGATGTGAGAAAGCAATCAATAAGGTTATCAGAAAATAGTTGTCCCTCTCCTGTCACTCAGAAGCTATGGGCCCCTCTGTTGTGATATCCAATGAGGTCTTCTCTCAGAGTAGGAGAGGAGGTTTGGATTCCTTTAACTTCTCTTCCTTGCTCCCATTTACATGAAAAAACATTCTTGAATTCATTTGAGGACTACTGGCTTTGTTTTTTATTTTTCCTAAGGAAATGGACCCTTTCCTGGGATCATAGACCTTTTTGGAGTTGGAGGTGGCCTTCTGGAGTATCGGGCTAGTCTGCTGGCTGGGAAGGGCTTTGCTGTCCTGGCTCTGGCCTATTATAAGTACGATGACCTCCCCAAGAGCATGCAGACATTCCACCTGGAGTACTTTGAGGAAGCTGTGAACTACCTGCTCAGTCACCCTCAGGTTGGTTGTTATTTTTGTCTTTTGGTTTAGAAACTATGGTCCTAAAACACCCACCTACCAAAAAGCATTGTGAGACAATCAAATCTTCATTTTCAAAGTATAAATCAAAGTAAATTTGTGAACTGGGTGATATTTCAGGGCATTGATCTGGTCAAGCAGTCTGAGGATGAAATACCTCAGATCAAAGCGAGGTCTTGTGGTATGCTAGAAAGGGAGCCTGCTGGGACACGGGCACATTCAGCACATAGTGGAAGATACCAGGTTGAACAGGTGACTCAGCCATTAAGATCACTTGCTGATCTTCCAGAGGACCAGAGTTGGGTTGCCAGCACCCAGGTCAAGTGGCTCCTAATTGCCTGTTCTTCCAGCTCCAGAAAGTAGGAGTCAATCTTCTGGCTTCTGAGTGTAGCTTTGCACACACAGACATAGTCAGGGAAACACACACACACACACATACACACACACACACACACAATCTAAAACAATCTTACTTGACTCAGGCATACCACAGAAGAGGTGGGTCCCTTTGCAGCATTATTGTTTTGCATGAGTGTGTCTCCACCCTTGGTTTTGTTCTGAGCACTAAATGATTCATAAGTCCCTGCAACAGGACCTACCATGAACTGATAAATGTCATTCACTTGGGAAACAATACAGGAGTTATAGGGGGCTAAAAGTGAGGAAGACCAGGGCCAAGGCAGGGATGGCTGTGGAAGAAAGAAAATCATTCAGTGTGAACAAGGATATAAGAGGCCATGCCTGAAGAACAGCAGAAGTGAGTGTTGGCAGGAAGAGCCTTCCTGTGCATGGGGCAAAGCCTGCCTGCCTGTTAGAGGCAGAAGAGCTGCTGTCTGGGAGCTTAAGGTGTTGTAAAAATGACAATGAAAGCCTCCTCACTGGTCCCACATAGACCCATGGCCTGGCCCTACAATCATGAAATTGTGTAACTTCAGTAACCCTGTCCCCACTCTCCAAAGCCTGTCAGTGGTTTTGAATAAACTGTTTTATTTCCCTAAACAACCTCTTTTAAAATAACAATTCTTAATTTGAATAAGAATTTTTTTGTTTAAAGCATCTCCTTCTTCTTCAGTACATGCATCTTGAACTCTTACTCATAACCAGAATCTTACCTTTTTACTGTGATGCTTGCTGGATGATCATAAACTCATGTGAATGTTGTGCCCACCACTGTAAATACATCACAGATGAAAAGAAGAGTTTTGGGGGGAGGGGGAGAGAAATGGGAGGAGGGGAGGAGATGGACATTTTATTTTTAAGTAAAAATAAAAATAAAGAAAGAAAGAAAAGGTTTTCCTGACTTGTCCACATTCTTCCTTTGACAAATTCATGCTCAGGAATGTACCTGTTATTTTTTTTATTTCAAGCTTCATGTAGACCATGGTGTTACAAAATATGCCTGTACACTGTGTGAAGATGTGTTAATGTGACTGGTTTAATAAAAAGTGGGATGGCCAATAGCTAGACAGGAAGAGGCTAGGTGGGACTCTGGGACAGTGACATCTAGGATCAGAGGAAAGGCAGAGTCGCCAGTCAGACACAGAGGAAGCAGATATCCAAGTCACGTAAAAGAATGTGGATTAAAAGATGTGGCTTCCTGTAAGTTATAAGAACGAGTTAGGAAGGAACAAGCTTAAGCTGAGGCTAAGCATTTATAATGAACGAGAAATCTCTGTGTGGTTATTTGGGAGCTGGCAGGTGGGACAGAGAAAGACTAGTTACACTGTGGGACTTAGCACTGAGTCTCATCTCACCACTAAGGATTTGAAGAGACCTAATCACCTTTCAAAACCTGGATGGTACAGAGTGAGAGTCAGGCTCAGGGCCACCCTCCATCCCTAGGTTGGCACCACTAACTGCCCTACCCTCTAGATGCACTTATTCCCTTTCTTTTCTCTGTCTCTTTCTTAGGTCAAGGGACCAGGAATTGGCCTGCTGGGGATTTCCAAAGGGGCTGACCTCTGCCTCTCCATGGCCTCTTTCCTGAAAGGCATTACAGCGGCTGTCATAATCAATGGCTCTATGGCCAACGTTGCTGGAACATTGCACTACAAGGATGAGACCCTGCCCCCTTTGAGCATTAACATGAATCGGATCAGAGTGACCGAAGATGGCCTTAGAGATATTTTGGAAGCCCTGAATTGCCCTTTAAATGGCCCTGATCAGAAGAGCATCATCCCTGTGGAAAGGTCTGACTCCACCTTCCTGTTCCTTGTGGGTCAGGATGACCGCAACTGGAAGAGCGAGTTCTATGCCAATGAGATCTCCAAACGCTTGCAGGCCCATGGGAAGGAGAAGCCCCAGATCATCTGCTACCCAGAAGCAGGGCACTACATTGAGCCCCCTTACTTCCCTTGGTGCAAGGCTTCCTTACATGCCAATTTTAACATGCCTGTCCTCTTTGGGGGAGAGCCCAGGGCTCATGCCATGGCCCAAGTGGGTGCATGGCAGCACCTCCAGTCTTTCTTCCACAAACATTTGGGTTCTGAAGCAAGGACAATCTCAGCAAAACTGTGATTTTTTTTTTTTTTTTTTTTTTTTGTGAGTAGTGACACTTTTGATGTTGATCCCTCCTGAGAAGGCTGCCACTGTTAGGATGTGCATGTATTTTTCTCTCTTTCAGTTTTTGGAAGTTGGAGCAGAATCTACATGGGAAGTAGAAAAAGACAAGATCTCCTGAGTAAATTGGGAGCATGGGAATCATGGGAGAGGATTGAAGGGGAGGAGAGAGAAAAGGAGAGGACCAAAGAAAAATGCATAGCTCAATAAAATCAATAAAAAAAATATTCTCACTAGCATGCTCACACTTGATATCTGAGAATACTGTATATCAATTTAGAAGAAAGAAATAAGATGATCTTAGGATTTTTTCCTAAAGATTACCATGCAGAAAATATATTGTAAAAATCAAGGCATGGACGATTACAAAGCACACCCTGTTTTCCTTACAGATCTGTGGTAGCTGAGGTGGACAAACTCTGAGACACTGTAAGGTTCACTTCACTTGAATTTAGGATAACAGAAATAATGAAAAGGAAATGTCCCACCAAAGCTTCCAAGTCATTTGCACTCAGGTGGCATGCAGTGTGTTTCAGCAAACCTGTCTCTGATGTATCAGAACTGAAGCCAAACACGGTAGATGCCAGGAGACCAAAGAAAGAAAGAGATGGTTCCAGAAGTAAATCGGATAAAATTTCCTAAGGACTTACAGACAGAAACATGTCTTGAGCAGACACATGACAGGAAGATGTTATGCATCCAATCATAGGATAAAGGTTTTATGCCCTACGTTTGGCAAAGGTAGGCCATGAGAACTGGAATGGAGTTAGTCTTCTCTGTGTTATCTCTTTCAGTTAAAAAAGAACCTGAGCAGCAGCAGATGGCACAGCGTGCTTAGCTGACTGTCTCAATGACTCTGCTTGTCCTAAGTTCTTGGGGTATGTGAGAGAGTAAACCTATACGAGATAGCAGTAATACCCAAGGCACCAATAATAACGTCAAGTGGACAGTGTCACAAATGATGCCTTTGATATGTAGAGAAAATTTTAGATTAAAAGGCTTCCCAATGAGATGAAAAGAAAAATTCAAAGATTCCTAGTTGAAGCTGGGTAGGGGTGGCAGCACATGCCCTTAATCTCAAGACTTGGGAGGCAGAGAGAGAGAGAGAGAGAGAGAGAGAGAGAGAGAGAGAGAGAGATCTTTGAAAGGTGGTGACTTCTAGAAGATCTTTAGGCCACTGGGAGTGTGCCCATGAGTGGAGTTGTGGAATCCTAATGTCTTTCTTTCTAACTTGCAATGTAGACATAGGTGGACCTCATTTTGCCATCTGGTATACCCAGACCTTGGACTGGATTAGAGAAACGTTAAACATTTTCTCCTCATAAATTAATATCCTGGATATCTCAGTGCAGTAATGTGAACCTGACTAAAACAATTATCTTTTGGAAAGAAAAAAATGTCTGTAGCAAAAGAGTGGCTCCTGGCGTCTGGTACTGAGTGGTCCATTTTTGGATCTTGTCCTTTTCTTTTTGTTTTTGTTTTTCAAGAGAGGGTTTCTCAGTGGAACAGTCCTGGCTGTCCTGGAACTTGCTCTGCAGACCAGGCTGACCTCTGCCTCCCAGAGATTCCCCTGCCTCTGCCTCGTGAGTGCCGGGACTAAAGGTGTGCACCACCACGGCCCAGCCTGGATCTTGTTTTATAAGGACATGACCACACGATTGTGTGTATAAGTTCTCTTTACACAATCGACCTGTTCTCCTATGTAGTTTGCTATGTTTCAAAGTGTCTCTCAAAGCTTGTGTGGTAGAAACTTAACTACTGCTAGGTAGAACCTTAGGGAGGACTCTGTGCTGGTAAACGGAGTGGGTTATAGCAGGTGTGGGTTATCTTTAGTTTTTCTCTTTGAAGGCTGAGTTTAGCCATTTTGGGTTTTTTTGCATGCTTTGTCTGTGGGTTTGTTTAAAACGGGACCTCTCTATGTATCCCAGGCTGGCTTTGAATTATAATGATCCTCCTGTCTCTGGGTCATTACACCCAAATTTGAGTGCTGTTTGCTTTTCGCTAGCGAATGACATGTGACTAAATACTGTCTTTCCACTTCAATTTGGACTTTTCAGAACTCAAAACTATCAGAAATTTCTTTATTGCCAGGCGTTAGTGTTAGGCTGGAAGCCTAGGCCCCAGTCCCTGGCATCTATCTCAGCCCCCAGGCCTGGTCTGGACTTCAAATCCCAGCAGGCCAGTCCTGACCCCTCCCTGGGGGTGGGGTGGGGACCACTCCCCAGGGTACTGAAGTGATCCCCCAAAAGAGCTTCTTTCCTCCCAGGGTCTCGTTCCTGCGGCTTCCCGGTTTCCCCCTCGGGGCCATCCGAGAGCACAGATCTCCCATTAAACCTGGATATTTCTTAATTTGGCTTGTTTTGATTTGGTTTGATTGGGAATTTTTGCATCGTCAGAGAGCTCGCTTAGGAAATATTCCTAACATTTTTAGGAAATATTCCTAACAGTTAGTGGCACACGCCTTTAATCCCAGCACTCGGGAAGCAGAGGCAGGCCGATCTCTGTGAGTTTGAGGCCAACCCGGTCTACAAGAGCTAGTTTCAAGTCAGGTTTTAAAGCTACAGAGAAACCCTGTCTTGAAACCACACCCCCCCCCCAAAAAAAATCTGTTATAAATTATCCAACGTTACATATTTCCCTAGAGTAGCAAAAGTAGCCTAAAATGAAAGTAAGAGTTGTTTGTTTGCTTTTACAAAAAACTGCTACCTAATCTACGCAAGGACCAGACTTTGCCTTCTTCACCTAGTGTCACTACCAATCCACGTGAGCACAATCTCGTGGCCTGACTTGACCCCACCGCTACTCTGACCACCCCTGTCAGTCTGCAGACACCAGCCCGTTTTCTGTCTCTGTTTTCCCTGAGAAACGCGACCGACGGCTCGGGACCTCCCAGAGACCGACCAGGACGGCTCCACAGCAGGCCAGGCTCCGCTCCGGACTCGCGTGGAGCTCCCCAAGGCCTTCAGCTCCAGTCCTGGCATAATGGCGACGCTGAGCCTGGAGCCCGCGGGCCGCAGCTGCTGGGACGAGCCGCTGAGCATCTCCGTGCGCGGCCTGGCCCCCGAGCAGCCCGTCACGCTGCGCGCCGCCCTGCGCGACGAGAAAGACGCGCTCTTCCGCGCCCACGCGCGCTACCGCGCCGACCCCCACGGCGAGCTGGACCTGGCGCGCGCGCCCGCGCTGGGCGGCAGCTTCGCGGGGCTCGAGCCCATGGGGCTGCTCTGGGCCATGGAGCCCGACCGGCCTCTCTGGCGCCTGATCAAGCGCGACGTGCAGACGCCCTTCGTGGTGGAGCTGGAGGTGCTGGACGGCCACGAGCCCGACGGCGGGCGGCTGCTGGCGCGGGCGGTGCACGAGCGTCACTTCATGGCTCCCGGGGTGCGGCGTGTGCCCGTGCGCGAGGGCCGTGTGCGCGCCACGCTCTTCCTGCCTCCAGGTGAGCAGCCCCCAGGTCTGTGCTCTCAGCCTAGACTGACCTCTATTCCTGCATAAACCTGGTGGAACAGTCACATAATTGTGATACTTCCGCATTCCAAAGCCTGCCAGTCGTTTTAAATGGAAAATTTTGTAGCAAGTCTCATCCCTTAAGGCACCGTGAATACCTCAGCTTTATGCTGAAGAGGGCATTCAACTTTAGAGTATTGAAATGCACTAAATGCCGCCATGTGGGTGCTTTTTAAGTACCGATGTAATCAATAACTTATGCCTGTAGTAATAGTGACTTTGGTCTCCTTTCACATCGAACTTTCAAAGATCCTTACACCCACAAATGAAGACTATGTACCCTAATCATTAAAACACATATGAATGTCCCTGGCAGTCCTCCCCCAACTGTAAACAAGCTGAAGATGCTTCTCAGCCTAGGGTGACTTTTGCCCGTCCATGAAGACATTTAGCAATATCTGCAGAGAGTTTTGTTTGTCAAAAATGAAGGCAGGAAACGCTGTTGCCATCTAGCTAGTAGGGTCCAAATACTGAACAGCCTCAGAACAAACTATCTTGTTCCAAATGGATACAGTGGGCTAGGGAGATCGCTTAGTTGGCAAAGTGCTTGTTTGGCAACCATGAAGACTCGAGTTCAGGTCCTCAGCCCCTCAGGACCCATGTTAAAAGCTGGGCCCCATATTCGATGCCTATAACCACAGCCTGGAAGAACAGACAGAATTCCTGCAGCTTGTTAGCATACCATTCCGGCCTGCCGGTGAGCTCCAGGTTTAGAACTAGTCTCCAAAAGTATGGTGAAGAACCATTGAAGCTGGGCAGTAGTGGCGTATGCCTTTAATCCCAGCACTTGGGAGGCAGGGGCAGGCAGATCTCTGTGAGTTCAAGGCCAGCCTGTTCTACACAGCTAGTTCCAGGACAGCTAGAGCTGTTACACAAAGAAATCCTGTTTCAAAACAACAACAACAAAAGAACTATTGAGGAAGATACCCAATATTGATCTTTGACCTCTACACACAGACACACATACAAACACACACACACACACACATTTGCCTAGGGGTGCCCTGGTGAAAAGGAGATGGGTGTGTGCTGGGCTAAGGTTCATCTGGTGATCCTATCTGCAACAATTGGAACATTAGGTATTTCTTTTGTATAGTCTGTTCCTGGGTGGTACCTGAGTAGTCTCTGATGAGCCTGTCATAGCTAGGCCCTACAACACACACATCAGGGCATACTCACATTCACACACACGCTCAAATACTCACATGCACGTCACATACATACACAAGTGGATTACAGCGATTGGAATAAAATGGCTGCCATAAATAAGAGGTGTGGTCTTATTGGAGTAGGTGTGGCTTTGTTAGAGGAAGTAGCTTTAAGCTCTCAGAAGCTCAAGCCAGGCCTTGTGACTCCGTGTCTCTTTCTGATGACTGTGGGTCCAGATGTAGAACTGTCGGTTCCTTCTCCAGCACCATGTCTACCTGCATGCCACATGCTTCCCACCGTGACAATGATGGGCTAATTTGAACTGTAACCCACCTGGTTAAGTGTTTTCCTTTATAAGAGCTGCTGTGGTCAGGGTGTCTCTTCACAGCAATGGAAAGACTAAGTAAGACATGGATACTGTTCTGATGCTGACAAACCCTGGTCTGAGAGAATAGGGTGCAGTCCATGTAAACAGTGGAAAGACAGTCACTGGCATACCCCTCCAATCACAGAAAAGGGCTAGAGTCACGGTGGTACACAGAATTTTGAAACTGAATGTGGTGGTTGTTGTACAAAGGAAGAGAATGTGCCGCTTTCTTACGGCACTTTCTAACCTGAACTAGAGACTGCTTGGTACAGCGGGAACTCTGCAACCTGAACGGAGTCCTACTCCATTTCTCTGTCTCCGTTTCTGGAGATTTCCACACGACTTTAGAAGGAGCTCTGTAAATCACCCTGACTGATTCAGTCATC